GTGGAAGCAGTGGTTCATGTGGACCAGTAGTCTTTTGGATTAATTGCTTTATTGAGTCTTTGGTTTCCTTCACTCTCCTTTGCTCCAGATAGGAAGAGACCAGTAGTTACATCTTAGATGGCTGCTTGCAAGCTTTAACCCTAACCTTTGAACTATATTATGCCTGTGACCTAGATGTCCCCCAAGACTATAGTTTTACTTTGTGACTTTGGGCAGATAGGGTGAAGTGAATCTAGAGAAGGCTTTGCTGTGTAGGGCTGAGAAAGCCAGAAGAATGCATTTTTTGCATATTGTCGTTAGGTGCTGTTGAGTCAGTTCCAACTCATAGTGACCCCCCTGTACAACAGAACAAAATACTGTTCTGTCCTGCACCATTCTCACAATCCTAGCTATGCTTGAGCCCATCTTTGCAGCCACTGTGTCAGTCCATTTTGCTGAGGGTCCTCCCCTTTTTTGCTGACCCTCCACTTTACCAAGCATGATAATTCTTTTCTAGGGACTGGTCCCTTCTGACAGTATGACCAAAGTAGGTGAGATAAAGTCAGGTCATTCTTGCTTCTGAGGAGCATTTGGCTGCACTTCTTCCAAGACAGATTTGTTGGTTCTTCTGGCAGTCCAAAGTATTTTCAGTATTCTTTGCCAGTTCAAATGCATCAGTTTTTCTTCAGTCTTCCTTACTTGTCCAGTTTATACATGCTTGTGAGGCTATTGAAAATACCATGGCTTGGGTCAGGCACCTTAGTCTTCAAAGTATCATCTTTGCCCTTAAACACTTTAAAGAGGTCTTTTGCAGCACATTTGCCCAATGCAATACATTGTCTTATTTCTTGACTGCTGTTTCTATGGATGTTGATTGTTATCCAAGTAAAATGGAATCCCTGACAACTTCAATCTTTTCTCCATTTTTCATGATGCTGCTTATTGGTCCAGTTGTAAGAATTTTTTTTTCTCTGTGTTGAGGTGTAATTCATACTGAAGACTGTAGTCTTTGATTGTCATAAGTGCATCAAGTCATTTTCACTTTCAACAAGCAGGGTTGTGTCATCTGCATACCATAGGTTGTTAATGAGTCTTCCTCCAATGCCATGTTGTTCTTCATATAGTCCAGTCGGCATACACATTGAATAAGTATGGCAAAAAGATACTACCCTGATGCTTCCCTTTACTAATTTTAAACTATCCAGTACCCTCTTGTTCTGTTTGAATGACTGACTGCCTCTTGGTTTATGTACAGGTTCCTCATGAGCAAAATGAAGTCTTCTGAAATTCCCTTTCTTTGCAATGTTGTCCGTAATTTGTTATGATCCACGTAGTCAAATGCTTTTTACCAGTCAATAAAACACAGGTAAACATCTTTTTGGTGTTCTTTACTTGCCCTCTTTTGAATCCAGCTTGAATTTCTGGCAGTTATATATACTATTGGAACTGTGAATATACTATTGGAACTGTTTTTGTCTTCAGCAAAATTTTACTTGTGTTAATGCTATTGTTTGATAATTTCCACATTCATTTGGATCATCTTTCTTTGGAATGGGCACAGATAGGTTCTGTTTCATTTGCTTTGCCAGGTAGCAGTCTTCCAAATTGCTTGGCATAGATGAGTGAGTGATTTCCAGCATTGCATCCATTTATTGAAACATCTCAATGAATATGTCCATTCTTTGAACTTTACTCTGCCAGTTCCTTCAGGGCAGCCTGGATTTCTCCCTTCAATGCCATTGGTTCTTTTTTTTTTAATTGTGATTTGAGTGAAAGTTCACAGAGAAAATTCACTTTCCATACAGCAGCTCACATACACTTTCTCTCATGACATTGACTACAATTAACCATAATGCAGCAGCTCTCCTCCTATTACCTCCCGATAAGGTACCTCTTCCCTGTGTCCTTCCCTCCATGCACTCCTGCCCCCTGAGCTGTCTCCCTGTGCATACACAGCCCTTCTATTGTCTCATGCTTGTTCTCTCCAAGAAGTGTATCTCCCTCAGGAAAATGTTCACCTCATATGCCTGTCTTTTGTTTGGCTGGACGCCACAGGAGTGGGTTCGGTTCCAGACCTGAAGGGCAGCTAGGGGCCATAGTACCAGGGGTTCCATTGGGCTCTATCAGACCAGCAAATGTGGTCAATGCCATTGATTCTTGATCATATGCTACCTCCTGAAATGATTGAATGTTGACCAGTTCTTTTGGGTATAGTGACTGTATTTCTTCTGTCTTCTTTTGATACTTCCTTCATCGTCCAGTATTTTGTCCATAGAATCCTTCAGTATTGCAACTCAAAGATTGGATTTTTTCCTTACTTCTTTCAACTTCTATTTTTTTTTAATTTTTTCAGTTTTTTTTTTTTTTATATTAGAGAACTTAAAGACTCATTTTAAAGATGATGAGGTTGAGATTCAAGGAGGTGACATTACTTCTCTGAAGTAATTATTAACAAATTTGGATTTAGAGCTCATCTCTCCTGTCTGGTAATCCATAGTAGTATCACATTGCTGGTCCATGATTGAGGTCTTCAGTACAATTAATAAGGCCATCCCAGAACTACTTTCATACATGAAAGGTAGAAATGGTATAAACTCATTTACTTGTCATATTTGAACTTATACTAGTTCTGGTTTTTTTTTTTTTTTTTGAGGAGGAAAGTAACATTTAACAAAACATTTTTGTTCATATTTAAAGTGAAAATAATTACTATTTTGAAGCCATAAACTTCAAAGAAAGTTTTGGTGGGGATGGGGAGTATGGAGAAGAGAAGTCATTAATGCTAAAGTGTAAATTTTATCTCCTTCATTAAGAATGCTGCATATTTTGGCAGGGGCAGGAGCAGAGTGGAATTATCTGGATTTAGTATATCTTTGTTACATTTTTTTAAGTGATTTTGTCAAGGCTTTATGGTTTTTGTGTAACCAGTTCAAGTGCTGTGTTAATGACTGAGTGTGGAATTCTAGAACAATGTGTCTTTATGTAGTACAGTTTGTCAGAATGTGAAAAACCTGATAGAATTTGCTTGAAAATTTCTGAGCTCATATTGAGAAACTCTATGTGTTTTTTCTTTTTAAATACATTCTATTTATTGTTTCCACTGTTCTGATTTTTCTGGCTTACCTCCGAGTTCTAATCTGTGTTATATATGCTTATGTATATAACGTATATGCTTATGTTAAGAGTTTTGGAGTGACTTAAGAAAACTTGGTTTTGCAAGGAGAAGCTAAAAAACCCCTGCTGACTGAAGGGGCTGGCTACATTTCTCTTGTACCTGTCTTTTCTTACTCAGACTGAATCCTTGAGGCACCCACTCTGATGTTTTAGCCAGTCATCATCCCAAATCGGGTGTCACCTTTTCACAAATCAGGCACAGCTTTCTGGATTCGGGGGGTAGTGGGCAAAGAAGTTTAGTTGGAAGGAAGGGGGAGTTGTGTGACTGTTGGCAGGTACTGTGGCTGTTGTATGATGTTCTTGTGTTGTTGTGAGCAGAATGTAGCTCTTACTCATTCTGCTCTTCTTTATGTTCTTAAACCCAAACATTTCCCAATGTTTGACATAAAACCCAACCAAACCCACTGCCATGGAGTCATTTCCAACCCATAGCAACCCTGCAGGAGAGAATAGACCTGCCCTATGGGATTTCTAATGCTGTTAGTCTTTACAAAAGCAGACTGCCTCATTCTCCTGTGGAGCAGCTGGTGGGTTCAAACTGCTGACCTTTTGGTTAGCAGCTGAGTGCTTTGACCACTGCTCCACCAGAGCTCCTCATGTTTGACGTAGTCTAACTAATTATTTTTAAAGACTATATATCACATTTCTGTTCCATAGCTTTGCATTCTCCGTTTTTTTAATTAGAATTATTTTCACAGAATAAATTCTCACAGTGGGATTACTCTTTCAAATAATTTGATTTTATTTGATTTATATGGAGTCTCTACTTACTGAATTGAATGAATAAAAGGGTTTAGTAATTCACATTACCACAGGCAGTTTGTTTGCTGTTTCACTCAGTTTTGTGAGCATCAGGATTTAAAAACTTTTTGTTGTTAATAGGTGTGAAAACTTGGAATTCTTTAGTAGTCATGTTTTTAAAATATAGTGTGTATTTTTACTAGAAGAAAGATTGTGAGTGAGTTTTCAATTTAGATCTTTTGCTGGTCCGCATGTTTATGTATAAATTCAGATAGGTTTTAGCATGACAGCTGGTCATTTCTACTTCTACAAGGTTGATGACATCTGCTTTAAAGTAGATATTTAATTTGATTAAAATGTTTTAGGTTTAAAAATATAGTTTTTGGCATAGATAACATATGTACCAAAACTCATTGCCATTGAGTTGATTCCGATTCATAGCGATCCCCCCATTGGGTTTCCAAGGAGGTAGATCTTTATGGAAGTAGATTGCCTCATCTTCCTTCCGCAGAGTGGCTGGTGGGTTTGAACCATCAACCTTTTGGTTAGCAGTCAGATGCCTTAGGCACTATGCCACCAGAGCTCCTTGATAATATATGTACGTGGTATAAAAATTCGATTTTCCTCCAAGACTTGTCTTCAATTTAGCATCCTTTCTTTGGAAGGATGTATCCTTTTTGTATCCTACAAAAATGTAGCAATGCGTAAACCAGTGCATATGTGTAGTAGAATCTCTTAACAGTTTACAGGCAGGAAGACTTATTTACTACACATACTGCCAACTGTGTAAGACTTGGTAGACAAATAACAGAATTAAAAACTGATAGAAAAAGATTAATTTGAACTTTTGTATGAACTGGTTTGACTGTACTCCAAGATCCCAAAGAATTCTGCAGGTGCTGCTTGTGGGGAGGGAAAGGGACTCAAGTTGCCAGGACTCCAGATCCCCTCATCCATTTCGGGCAGAGGAAAGTCATACTGTTCTGTTTTTTTACATTTGTGCTTCCAACTGGGGTTTTTGTTTGGAAAAAGGAACCAAAGGTGAATAAAAAGTGAAAAACACCAATGCAGACAGTAACTGCTGTGTTTTCCCTCTTTATTTCCAGATGTTTCTTACAGTGTACCTCAGTAACAATGAGCAGCACTTCACAGAAGTTCCAGTTACTCCAGAAACAATATGCAGAGATGTGGTGGATCTGTGCAAAGAACCTGGCGAGAGTGATTGCCATTTGGCTGAAGTATGGTGTGGCTCTGGTATGAGATCCATATAATCTTTAGCTATACCGTCTTTTGTTATTTTTGGTTTATAGAAGTGGATCTGTGTGTGACTGCTTATGTTTTCCACAGAGACACTGTAGAATACATATCCACCAGGAGATAGTCTCCATCCAGCTTTATTATACTATATAAAGTCTTCTTGCTGTTTCATTTTGCTGCAATGAAATGAAGACACCACAGTATAAAGACCATGGGACAGGTGGCTCATGTACTAGGTGGAAGCTTCTGGGGTGTTAATGGTGTATATGGTCAAATGTATGATTCTCAAAAGTGTTTTTTTTTTTAATGTTGGTTGTTGGCTGATTGATTCTGACTCATGGCAACCATGTGTATAGAGTATAACTGCTCCATAGATTTTATATGTTTAGGCTTTACTTAATTAGAAGTTTGAGGCTTCTTGGTCGTTTTGTCACTCTCTAAATTTTTATAGGTTTTTAGAGAAAACTGTTCATTGTTGAAGAACTATAGTAGCAGAAGGCAGTGGTAGACTCATAGACATTATTTTAAGCCTTGGAATCAAGCCCTCAAGTGTAGTTTTTTGGAGTTCTAAAATGAGACAGCCTGCTTTCTTCTTGCCCTATAGGGGTTTATAGATGTGGGAGTAATTTTTTATCATTTCTGCCTTGTTCCTACATAAGTCTGGATGAACCCCTACTGTTTCCTTTTTCTCCTCTGGGGATGCCAGCTGTCGTCAGAGCAAGTAACCCACTGTGTTAATTGGGCTCATACCATTCATGATATCTAACTTCAACTGAGCCTTGACTTCTTACCAGGTAAATCCTTTTATTCATCTTTGATCTTTGGTTGAGTTTCCTACAGTTGGTGTTCTTACGCTTTTTTCCTGACTGACTTACTACTTTTTCCCCCATCTAGGAGCCAGAATACTGTTTACATAAAGAAGCCCAAGTGACCTTCTTAAAATGAAAATTGGATAATTTTGCTTTCCTCTTTTAAAAAAGAAAGAAAGTAAAGCTCTTTTTAATGACTTTCTCTTCCACTTAGAATAAAATCCAAACTCTTCATCTTAGGTTGTGAAGTCCTATAGATTGACTGTCTGTAATGTCATTTTCTTCCTTGCTTCCGTTCTGCACTTTTGTTCCTAGAATATGCTGAACTCTTCTCCCCTAAAGATTTTTTTGTTACCGATTCCTTTTTGATCACTTGAATTTCAGCTAAAGTGTTACCCTTGGAGAGGCTTTCCCTGAGCACTCTTCCAAAATAGCCATGTGTTTTCTATCCTATCATCCTCATTTAATTCTCTGCATAACATATGGTACTATCTAATTTTCGTGTGATTATTAGTGTATTGCCTCTTTAGATCTCTGTAACCCCAAACACAGATATTAGGTAGAATGTAAATTCTCTTAAGAATAGCCAAAAAGAGTTGACTTGGACTCATGATGACCCCATCCATCCATGTGAGAGTAGAAGAGCACTTCCTACAGTGGTGGTGGTAGTGGGTTTCTTTTTAACCCAAAAATTTAAATAATATAGAACACAACTACTAGAGTTACAAACCAAAAATACCATAAAAGTGGCCTTTATATTTGTCCATGAAATTACCTTTACTGGGTATCTTTTTTACTTCATATGACTTAGAACTGTTGTTTAGTGTCTTCCTTTCAATCTGAAGGACCCTCTTTTACATTTCTTGTAGAGCAGGTCTGGTCATATGAACTCCGTCAACTTTTGTTTATCTGGGAATATCTTTATTTTACTGTATATAAAATTCTATAGTTATATTTTTCAGCACTTTAAGTATGTGTTCCCTTGCTTTCTGGCCTCCAAGGTTTCTGAGGAGAAGTTGCCACTTAATTTTATTGAGAATACCTTTAGTATGTGACAGTTTGCTTGACATAATTTATAATAGTTGTTATAAAGCTGTTGTCCGTTAATTCCAACATTTGCCTTGTTTAGGGGTTTACTCTATTAATTATTTTTCCTCTTGATTATGGGTGTCTTCTTCCTACCTCTTGACATGTATTTTTTAATTGAATACCAGACATTATGGATGATGCATGGTAGGGACTCTGGATTTTGTTACCTTCCTCTGAAGGTGGTTGAGTTTTGTTCCAACAGGCAGTTAAATTACTTGTGGATCAGTGAAAGCTTTTTTTTTTTTTTTTTTTCAGAGTAGATTTTTTTCAGGTGTTCTCTTAGCCCTAGGATGTACATTCTCAATAGGAGTATTATTGCCCCATGGACATGAAAGTTGATTTTTACTCGCTGCCGTCAAGTTGGATCCAACTCATAGTGACTCCTCCTTGGGTTTCCGAGGTGGTATCACTATGGAAGTAGATTGCCCAGTTGGTTCTTAGTGGAAGAAAAAAAGAAAAACTCTTCGATGTTACAGTGATTATGATTTGTGGCCCTCTAAAGCTCAATTCTACCTGAAAAGATCTTTTCTCTTATTAATTAATTTTTCTTCTCAGGACAGGGAGAAATAATGGGAGGAAAAAAAAAGCTGAGAAACTGTTCAAGGATACAGTCCTTAGTCCTAGTGTATAGTTCTTCTCCTTAGTTGTGGTCCTTCTGAGGTTTCACTGAAAGTCCTGAGGAGTTCATTGTCCATATGGTTTTCAATGGCTGAGTTTTTGGAGGTAGATCACCAGGTCTTTATTTCTAGGCACTACTAGGTAGACTCAACTCCAACCTTTGGGTTAGTAGCTGAATGTGTTAACCATTTGCACCACCCGGGTAAGAATAGAGACCTTGTCTGTTCTTGTTCATTGCTGTATCTTCAGCTCAAGGCGAGTTCCTGAGTACCCAGTAGATTCTCAGTAAATATTTACTGAATGAATAAATCCGTGAACTTCTAGCTGCAAGGTAGCTTCCTTGCATTTAGCAAATTATCTTCCTGTTGCTATGAGTTGGAATTGACTTGATGACAGTAGGTTTGGGTTTTTTTTTTTGTATGCTTTACTGAAATAATTGGAACTATTCATTGTGAGCTTTCCTCAGTTTCCTCCTCTGGCCCTCAAACTCTCTGTGTACCTCCCCTTATTTTCTTAGAGGAAAACATATTCTTCCTCTTCATCAAGGTTTATTCACTCTGTTCCTTGAAACTTTGATTCCACCCTTTTCCTCTAGTGTCTTGCTTACTTTAATTGAGTAACCTCTGTTAAGTGATGATGATATGTAAACGATTTTCTCTCTGATAACTTTTGCAACTTAAAAAATATTATGATAAATAACACCTAAATGTGTTCTTATTTGTAAAGAAGAATCCCCTTACTCCTTGTTGTAATCACATGTAATTTTAACAGGTAGCTTTTTGGACTTTTTCTTTACATTTATAAGTAGCTATAGAAATAGTTTTATATATTGTTCTCCCTTGCCCTTTATGTAAACAGTATCATATGTATCAATATACTGCAGTGAGGCCAGATGAAGACATGTGAGGGCACCTTAAACATTGATAATCTGTGGTACTCTCTCCTCTGTTTACACATTTCAATGAGATATGTGCGTTATTTGTGTGTATGTGTCTTAGCTATCCATGATGTAATTTCTTTTTAAATGCAACTATAATATTAGTGGTTGAGCATAAAATTTGCGTAGGCCATTTTAGCAGAATGAGATTAACTGGATCAGAAAATTTTTAGTGTCTGTGGGGTACTAAGATTTTTACTTTATACCACATTTTCTACAAAAGGAATATTCCACATACTCTACAATAAAGAAAATGAGTCGGTGAATTTATTGTCTCAATGATCAAAGTAAAGTTCTATTCATCTCCCACAGTGAAAAATTGATTCACCAATATTAGTTTAAATGGCACGTACTTCGATTTTGATGCTTGTTTTATAAAAAATGCCATAATTATAAATGAACAAATGAAAATATGTCATAAAAGAAAATTTATTGATCAGAAACCAAATCTTAAAACAAATTACTATATTATTTTTTTTTTAAATAAAATTAGGCTCAACTTTTTGTTTATTAGAAATAGTATACTCCTAGGAGACCTACTGAATGTTTCAATTACTCAGGAGGGGACCATAGGAGACAGAAGGTGGTGAAGTGGTAGAGGCTGCATAGCTTTAAACAACTTTGTGTGTGGGTGCCCTTGTAACCCTGTGTGAACTTTTATTTCTGACTGGCACTTTCTTACCCACTGGAGCTGGTATCAGTTTCACTTAGTGCCCTGCCAATTTCCTTCCACTGTATTGCTTGCTTTTCCTTGTGTCTTATGTGCTTGACATCTCTAGATCTTTGCTTTGGACAGCTGGTGTCCATTTTGTTGATACCCTAAGTGTGTGCTTAGCTTGCCTGTTGGGTGATCCGTCCTTATATTGCAACTTGCTATTTTACTTTATAATGTAGCGTGGAGATCTTTTCAGATGAGTACCTGTAAGTCTGCATCATTGTTTTTATTGTTGTTAGGTGTCGTTGAGTTGATTATGACTTGTGGTAACTCCATATGACAGAGTACAGTTGCCCCATAGTGTTTTCTTTTTTTTTTATTAGGATTTGGGTGAAGATTTACAAAGTAAATTCACTTTTCATACAGCAGTTCACATATACTTTGTCTCATGTCATTGACC